TTCCAAAATCAATATGATCTAACTACACCGCGAAGATAGGCCATTCCTTGAGATTGCTAGTCAAATTCGACCAAATTCCTTGGTATTAATTTATAAATTCATAGAAATATTTTGATGGTTGTCGATTGAAAAAACAAAACTACAAGAAAAAGGTAGATATGACAAAAATCTTAAATGTATTTTGATAGTAAAATTACAAAATAATCGATCATATATAATTGCTGCACTATTGTGTGGAATTTCATATCTGTTTGTATATATGAATTTGCGATTATCTTATATAGAAATTTGTTTCACTTGGGGATAAATTGAATACCTAAACCAAATCGAACTAAATATTCACAAATTCGAACCCAAGCTCAATTATAGAATAATTTAAATGGGTATAAAAAAATATACATTTATATTCATAAGTTTATTTGTAAACCTAAACGGTTGTGTTTTTGTATGGTAACACAAAATTATGAAACTGAATAACTTATATATTAGAGATAAAAAAAACAAAATTAATTAAGGGTATCAATAATCTAGTTTCTAATGTTCAAAAAAAATAAAAAAATAACAATCTAGTATCTGATATTACGAAAAAATATTACAAAATATATAATATCCAAACAGTGAGCAAAGAAAAATACAACACATTCAAACTAAAATAAACTCAACAAAACAATAATCAACATTTACGTATTAGACCAACTGATTATATGAAACCATCTACTTCTTCATAATCGTTGAGGCTAAGAGCATCATTAACAATGATATCAGCTGAGTATCATTAAATATAAAATTATTAAAAACACAATTTCTCTTCTTTTTACTTAATTTTATACCTTTTCTTTCATCTTTTTACTCAATTTTTATTAATTTTATACTCTCTTTAAATATAAAATTATTAAAAACACATTCTTTCTCTCTTCAAAAGTATCAACTATTTGATACTTTGATATACTCTCTCTCCAAAAATACCCACTATCTCTTCTCTTTACTCAAATTTTATTAATTTTATATTTCAATATACCTCATTATTTTAACAAAAAACACTCTTTCTTTCTTTTACACAAATTTTAATAATTTTATATTTAATGATATCCACATTGTATCACCGTTAATGATGCTCTAATAAGCATGTTATAAATCTATGTGGAGTAAAAATTATTTGCCCATAAGCATGTTTTTTGGTTCATTCCATGTGTGTGGCAACAAATAAAAAAACTGACACAATGACATTGGTTATATAATCTTACAAAATGTAAAACATAAACGAATGTAGATAAACCAATAAAAAATCTACTATTTTGTATGTTTAGCTTAAAAACAAATAATAAAACTGACTATTTTGTTATTCTCCTATGAATTTTATGGCGTTAAAAATATTTTAGGACTAATTGTAAATAAACAAATAAAGTTTGCATTTTTAAAAAAGCTAATCGAACTATATAAAGGATTTTAATTGTCAAAATTAGACTTCACTCGTGTTTGACATTTGAAACAATACTAAGCAAAAAAGGTAAATAATATGAAATCTGTTATAAACCCAATTAGTAGATGTCCATTAGAAGCCCATAATCTAGAAGGTTCTATCTTGTTCTTCAAGTTAACTTCCTCTCCAAGTTATTACTCCTCTCCAAGTAATTGTATCCTATATATATCTTTGCTCTCTATTGGAATAAGACACAATC